ATTTTGTTTCAGGACTTTTTAGAATTTTAAGTGGATGAGAAGAAATCTGGCACTATCCCCTCCTGATTAAAGCAAATGAACATGCAAACCCTTATTTCTTTCTAGTTCTAAAAGAAGTAAGAGAGATCTGAAGTATAGGTGGAAGAAGTTTGTTACAGTGACTGTCACTAGGTAGGTTCCTTCCTTCCTGGACTAGATCCTACAAGGGGACTAGCAACATGTGAAATCTTTTTGGTTTTAACTCTGAGGAAAGCACAATAACACATCTAAATGATGTATATTAGAAATAATGAAAGACTGGAGATTGCTCAGTGTCCTTCTGTTGTTACTTCCTCCACATCCTTGCAATGTGGCAGAAGATGGTACAGGAGTCTCTAAAGCATACAGCATCTCTAAAACAGAGATGAACATTGTAGTACAAGAGGTTTTATTTAAGGAGTTGTTTTATGTATGGTAATGCACAATTAGCAAAGCAAAATGCAGGTGAAATTTAGAAAGTCTTGAAGGAATCTGAAGGCCTAAGAGATCATACAGTTCTGTGCACTGGGTGTGTAGATCATTACAAAATACTTTCTCATTAGGTCAGATGAAGATGGAGAAAGGAAGGGGACTCTTCTTCCTGTTTCCCAGATAGGGAAAAAAGAAAAAAATAGGGTATTATACAAGGATAGCCTCTGGCAGTACGAGGACCCTTAAGAAAGCCATAAGGTATAAAATGGGAGCTTCTGATCAGCTTAGCAAGGAGTTAGAACAGATTTGCTGAGCTGGCTTTCCCTTCATACAGCGGAGCTGTTCCTGGTAGTATATTACTTCTGTAGCACTTGCTCTTCTGTAATCCAGCAAATTTTCCTTCGTCGTCATCTTCATTTGTGACTGCCCCCAAAGCAATGAACTCCCCTCTACCAAATCTGGGTGAAAGAATACAGTCCAGCATCTTGGTGCTTCTGTTTGCTCTCAGGGTTGCTGTATTACTTCCCTTGAGAATACAAGCTATGTGAAAGCGGCACTAGAGTGCATCACCACTTGATGGCACCAAACAAGTATGAAAGACCATTTAAAATAAATAAAGAAAGAAGGGAAGCAACTCGGCTTTTCTGCACTGTGGCAGGGCACCAATAGAAGTAAGTCATGGTTGCTGTATTAGTAGGATACTCCATAAAGCACACTCAGTATCTAATAAACTTTTCCATTGTTCAGTTTCTTTAACACAGTGTGAGTACTTCAGCACTGTTGTAAATAATGAGCAACAGGGCCTTGTGCAGGAAATTAGTAAACTAAAAATGTATTCTTAGCCCAATGTGCTGACCAGTTTGTGAGCAAGAGAGAGTGTGCGCTTGCTTGGCTAAAAATGTTCTGGTTGCCTTGTGCTGAGGCTGTACACTCATGGTATCTCTTCCAAGTTATAATAATTTTGCAAGTACAAAGCAATGGTTTAATGAAAATCAAGTTTCTGGACTGCATCATTCGAACAATTTTCCAAAATAAGGGGAATTCTAGTACCGTTGCACTGTATGCTGTTAGATTGACAATGACCTTGAATGACCTTCAATTTCAGGACCTCATTGTCTTACAGATACTCCTCTTGTCCTTGTGGGGACAGATGTTCTCAGTTCAATGACTAGAAGGATGACCATATTGATTCTTCAGTAATTAATATTAAAGTGTACCAACAGGGAGCTCCCCCAATACTGTTGTGGATGCTTCTCCTTGTCTTTTCTCAACGCATTATAAGAATCTTGTGCTTCTCAGGTTTTTATTAGTTCTCAGAAAAATGAGTTTCAGCAGCAGACATCTGCAAGATAACATCCTGGTCTTTCCATTAAACACACAGCAATTGCTAGAGGCTTCCTTTATTTAATTCACTCTGAATCCTCTGTTTTCTGTAGTTTTAGATTCCTTCTGTCTTTTCATCTGTCCCTGAACATATTGCCTTGCTTAATTATATCCTGTTTTGTGTTTCATGGAGAAGGAGAAAGGAGGAAGATGTTGATGCTTGTCAAAATGACCAGCAGTCTCCTCTTTTCCCTGATTCCCTTTCAAATAAAAATGTCTGCCACAACTTTTGGTTAGTTTGTCTAGGTTAGCTGTAAAAACAGATACTCTGTTGGCTTCCCTTCTCAGCTAGTAAAATAGAGACAGAGCTCATCCCAACATTATATGGATCAGAAACAATTAAAGATTGCAGCGTACCTCCTTCCGTTTCACTTCCAATTCTCCTTCTACCACATCATGTATTAATGGAAGTGTGTAGTGTTGAGGGATCATGTACACACATATGTATTGCATTCTTGTTGACATGGAGACAGAAGAATTCTGGCACTAGTCCCGTCACTTCACTCCTAGGCAACTGTTTGGTAATTAATTATTAGAATTAACTAGAAAATTCTTTGGCTGCGAAGCTGTTTGCTTTTTATTTGCATAATACCTAGCACACTGGAGACCTGGTCCAAACATAAAGATCTTAATAGTAACATACAGTGATTATATCCGATAGGTCCTGTGGTTGTCCATACACACACACACTCAAATCAGTGCCTGCCCTACAAAGCTCATACGAAGACTTTTTTAAAAGAGTTTTTGTAACATGCCTCTGAATTTGTGCATATCAATTAAAAAAACTTATGTTGATTGAGGATCAGTGTCATCCTGTTTCTAGACCTTATTGCATCCCTGTTAGGCCTTTTACTGTCCAAGTGCAATTTGATTCTGAAACCTAGAAGCATTTCATTATTACAGTAGGCTGTAGCATTCCCAAGGTGCAGGAGTTATTGGAGTGCTCCCTCTGTGGTGTACTCAAGAGAATAAATACTGCTCTGCAAAAAGGTGAATATTCAAACCCATTAAAACCTTTGGTTTGTTTTTGGTTTTTTTTTTTTAAAATGTTTGCTTCCCTCCTGTGTAACTAATTAGTAGGAAGGATGCCAAAGATTGTATCAAAAGAAAGGCCTAAGTCTTTGAGAGCATCAGTGTCATCTTCTTATAAGACAAGTCAGTTGTTTTCCACTTGTGAAACAATATTAACCATTTAATGAAGTGATTTTAAAAGATGCTGGCAGCTTTATTGCTGGGTGCTGCTGTTGCACTCTGCCCCAACTTTAATGGCTGGTGAAACAATCTGTAGCAATTAGATAATTGTTTCATCAAAATATGATTAAATCTAAATGCCTGTAATTGATGCTTTCTGTAAGCTTTATTGAAACAGGACTTAATGAAAGCAAATACACGTTCTTGCTGTTCCCAATATTTGAACTCCAGAGGGAAGAAAATGGAAAGCAATTGGAGCAACAAAATGGATGTTTGTAATTTAATATTCAAAGCATGTTTTTCTTTTTCTGTTAAATTCTAATTTAATGGGGAGATTTCATCTGCCACTTACAAAACTGTATATTTAGACTTTGTGTAGTTGTTTAGTTCTGCTTTTGGCATGGATGTCTTCTGCATTCTGAAGGCTCTCTAGGCTGCAGTACTTTTCCAGGTTTGGTCATCTGTGTAGCCCTCAGCTGTGGGATGCAATACGCAGAGATTCAGTGAGGAGGAAAGAGGGTTGGTGGCCACATTAATCTGATAAATGTTCTGGAAAGCATGCTCACTCAGATGGAAGAGCCAACCCTGCCTCTAAATGGTGCTGCAGCTTGGCTTGAGGCTGCAAGCGTCTGCACATGAGCCCAGCTCAGTCATCGGCGTTTTCTACAGGAAGTGGCAGTCACTCCTGTGCTGGGGGCTGAGCCCATTTTTCATACATACAATTTGAACTGAGAAAGGTTGCGTGCATCTATTCACCCTGGGCTGTGAAATTCAGCCCAGGACTAAGGCAGCAGCTCCTACCACTGGACTCAATTGGGTTTTTAGTCTTTGCCAAAGGGAAAGTCCCCTATCCTTTCTGTCACCACTTCTCCAAATACAGAGCAAAGTGTATATACCTGAATAACGATGAAATAAAAGAGCCTGAACTTAAAAGTATTTAATTTTACGAATTGATAGAGCACTGGAGTAGGTTGCCTGGGAAGACTGCTGAAGCCATGGCACAAGGTGTCTCAGAACAGGTTAGAGAAACATCTGTTTGGAAAAAGGCAGCTGGTGCGGGGTGGGGGGGCACAGGAGGGCTGTCCAGCAGTTTCCCCTTGCATGAGGCATGCCTCACTGATAAAGCATTTCTAAAGCAAATGAAGCCTGCAGCAGACCAGGGATGGCCTGCGCTGAGGCACAGTGAGTTCTTAAGTGGTTGAAGTTAGACATGAATTAGAGAGGGTGGAAGACACCAGATAACACAAGCCTCAAAGGTTCAGACCCAGCTGAATTTTGGTGTAACTTTGATACTTGCTGATTTCATTGGTCATGGACTGGTGTTGCTCTTTGACTAGATCAGAAGGACAAGGTTAAAAATTAGTACTATAGTGTTTATAGCAATCTCAGTTCGCCTGCATAAATATACCAAGCTATTATTTTATGGTGTTCATCTTTTCAGGGGAAAACCAGTAGGCTTTCTGGAAAGTGAGATGTTTAAAATATTATGCATTTGTGAAAAGGTCAGATTCCCCCTTCGTACACACTATTAAAGTGTATCAAAACTTGTTTCTCTTACTTGAAAGGGCTAGCTGGAGCTCTTTGAAGAGCAATGGTTTACTGCAAAGTCAAATACAGACAGATTTATATTTAAGATCATTGTAGCGTTCGCCACATATCAAGGTGCCGCGATTAGATCACTGGTCGGCCCGGACCAGGGAAAGAGACAGATAACACACACAGTATGAGCGCCAACTTCCGCCTTTTATTGCGCAGTTAATTCCTTTTATACTAACAAGGGTAGGCGGGATTACAGACACATCATAAGGCTGCAACTAACCCTCTAACTTTCCGTGACATCGCAAGATCTTCCGAACACCGAAGCCTACAGATCATGGAAGACGAGGGTTCTGAAACTCATAGTTTGTTAATTACAGAATTTGTTTCTGTGATAACCAAGAGTCGTATTGTCATTTGGACCATTTATCATCCTTTAGGTTTCGGCATAGTCCAAATTGTTGGTACTTGAGAGACTGGACCATCCACAGCTGGATCAGACAGTGCTTAAAATATGGTGCACAAGACAAAGCCTTATACACGTTAAAAAACAAGGTAAGTTTTTACAGTGAAAAGCCACGAATATATTTGGTCAGCTTTTTGAGGTAAGTGTGGCTTACCTGGAATTCCTGTTGCAGCCAGGTCCTGTAGACTGTGGTTTTAAGTTCAGATATTTCTTTGTCAAAACAAAAATTAATGTTGCACTTGAATTTTAAGTAAAGCTCTTTACAGCTTTAATTTCCTCTTCTTTCCCAGGAAGCTTTTTGTTTTTAAACGGTATTGGTGTCCAAAACATGCTAGATGCAGGAGAGGCATAAAAACTTGATAGGCAATGCCCCTCCTGGTCCCGAAGGCTCAGATAAAACACCAACACAAATCCAGTCCATCAAAAGTTAGAAAGCCTACATCACACGAGCCATGCTAATCTCCTTGTGTTGCTTGACTAACTGTCACATTGCAGCAGTGTGCAATGCTATGGTTCTGATCTTTCTGATACCTGCAGCGCTGTGCTTGGGAAGATTTGAACAGCAGATTTTCACACTGATGGATTTTTTTTTTCTTCTTCTTCTCTTCAGGTTCAGTATGGAATTTTCCCAGATAATTTTACATTCAATATTTTGTTGGATTGTTTTATAAAGCAGAAGAAATACGAAGGTAAGAAAATATGTACCAATTATTTATCCCTCGTTGCATGTTCTTATATCTGCAGAGCCTTTCTTTGAACTAAAAACTTTGAGCTGTATTTTCTCTGAAGTCACCTTAAAAACATGTCTTCTCCTTCCTTTAAACTACTTCTTTGCATGTTTATATCTCATTTCTGTTGGGTTTTTATTCATTATATAATTTTGAAACGTGCAGTTCACAGCTTCTACTGTCATTAATCCCATTCTAAATGTTAACCAACTTGTCCAGTTTTTACAAGTCTGAGTTACATGCTGACAACATCGTAGGAGTTATTAGTGACAATTTGAGTGTTATAAGAATCGAAATGCATGTTGGTAGAGTTCATCTTACCTACATTTAGCTATTCAAAAAGCTACATGTCTAAACTGTTTGTCTAGATTTTCTGTCACTGGAGAGAGCCAGCATGCTGAATTGCCATGTTGAGGTGCCTGTCTTTCACAATTGATTGTTTAAGTGTTGACATTAATAATCATGTCATGTTTGATTACAGATATTTAAGATTTTCATTTCCCTGCCGGTTTTCTGGTACTGTAGACTTACAGTGAGCTTTTCTTTGGATCAACCTCTTGTAAAACAAATAACTGAAAGGGACAGTACAATTGCAGGACTTGTATATAGCTTTTATCACAAAGGTTTTGCGAAATGACAAATTAATACATATATTTATTTTATTTTGATAGCCCCCTTATCTGTGAATTCCCCCTTATTCCATTCATATCTCTTTTCTGTGACAGGCTCAAGGCCTTTTGTTTAATAAAATGTCCTTCCTGACAGGGAGTGTCACTGGAACTCCCTCTGGAGCTCCTCCAGAGCACTGTTTGCTGAATACAGTGAGTGCAGTGGGTGACCTGTGACAACATTTCTGCTCCGTTGTACTGTCCTATCACCTTAAGGGCAGTGAATTTAAGTCAGTCTTCTCTTGTTTGTAATCTAAACACAAGAACAAAGTCGTCATTTTTAGAGATTTTTTTAAAAAATGTTGATGATTGAAGGGCTGAGCAAAGAAGAGCCAATTGAAGAGTGTAGAGCTGAGTTTGGAAAGCTCCTTTGCTGTGGTCTCATGCTATTTAACCCATTCTTCCCTCTTGCAGTGTGTTTGAATAACCCAAGTGAGTAAGACAAATTCTATACTACTAGTCATAATAAATCTTTAACTTTCCCACTAGCTACTTCAAAACATATTACAGCAGTAAAGCATCAGTGAACGTGAGTGGGTGCGAAAGGGAACTGTTGAAATCTGCACTTGCTGATTACGTATTGTTTTCCTCCTTAGATGCTATGTCAGTAGTAACAGAGATCATGCTGCAAGAAAGTTTTGATGACTTCTCAACACAGCTTCTTTCTCTCTATGTTTCATACCAGTACTTGGCAACCAAGTCTGAATATACGGTAAGCTGACCACACTCAAAATGATACACAAAGCCTCCGTTTCTAAGTGTCATGATGCAGTCAGTTGGGCATTCAGTCTTGAATATATTCTATTTCCCCTAAGTTTACCTGGAAAAAAGAAATACTCTTTTTTTTTTTTTTCATTATTATTACAACTGCAGAAGAAAGAAAAAAGAGGCAACAAAATACGAAAGCCATCAAATAACTTGTCACCTCTTTTACTCCTTTGTCTGAAAGGGAAGGTGTGTTGGGATTTTCAGATGTAATGCGTGCCCATTGTAAGGTTATGAAATGACATTTCAGTTCAGTTCAGGGAGGGGTCTATCAGTTAACACATAAAACCTGTGTCACCTATTGTATAGGACCCTGTTAAGGTGAGTATTCCTCACCATTAGAGCTTGGTAATGATGATGTTGCAGAATTATAAAGCATTTTCACTAGGATTTTTACTATCCCATTTGGCTTTGGGTGTATTGTTTCTAGTATGTATTTGTTTTAAAACTAAATTTTTTACATTTCTCCTGTCTCCAAGGATTAGGGGTTTCTTATTCACGTCTTGCTTGCTTAAGGCCAACAGGATAGTTCAGGCTCTTGGAAGAGGCATTATTCTACCTTTGCAGAAGGGTCTCAGTTAGGTATCAGCAAAGGGCCCTGCCATGTCCATCACTTCAGGCAGCTGCTTTTCATGTAGTTTGGCACAAGCCTTCAATAGCATGTTATCCATAAGGAAAATGCTTGAGGCCTCCATTTGTCTTACATGAAGCATCTTCCAAAATGCATATTACAGGTGCCTTAAGGTTTTACTCAATTGGATTGTAATTTCAGTTTTCACTGTAGAAAACAGATGTGCATTTGCCCTGTTCTGTATTATTCTTCATTCCCCAGGAGTCAAGTATGCTTGATCACTTGTATACGAAAAGCAGAGGGACCAAAATATGATTTTCCCTTTGTGTTTGTCCACGTTTGTGTATCCTCAGTGCAAAGACAAGCACTTGTCAGTATGTGTAGCATTTTCATGAAAGCTGAATATGCAAGCAAGGGTGGTATGGTCATATGACATACCTAAGCGCAAGTGTATTTATATAGCTGTAACTTATTTAATATGCATTTTGAAATAACCCCATCCAAAGACAGCAGTAAGCCATATTTTTGTATGTATACACCATACAGAGTACCGCTGAACACCTCATAATGCTCAGTACCAATTTTCTGTGTTTGATTTAAGAAGTGGGGATAGACAGAGTTATGAGATCTGCTCAGCTGCTCCTAAAAATCCCATTCCCTTTTCCCAAGGTGTGAGACAGGTCAGCCAGTGTCCTGTTGCAGACAGGCCCTTGACCATAGCTTAGGGTCCAGCAGCCTGATGAAATGTTTTTTAACTTTGAGAGCTGAATCTTGGGCAATCTAACTGTGTTAGTCCTTACTGTGTGTAGCATTGGTGATAGAAAGCTTCCATTTTTCTGCTGTTGTAAACACCACTGAAAGCCTAAGTGGTCTTGGCTCTCCCCAGAAAGTTTCCTACTTGACTGCTGCAGACAATCAGTATAATTGATACCTTCCACTGCAAAGGTGTTAACTTTAAGTTCTTGCAGTTCCTCCAGCTCTTGGAGCCAAATGGGCTAGCTCCCAAAGAACCTAGACCACTAAAAGCCCTGTTTTTTCTGGTTACATTTGATTTTCCTGTAACATTCAGCTGGAGTGCTGAATTCAGCACAAAACAGCCCTGTCTCCTTGTATCCCTTTTCTGGGTCAGGCAAATACCTTGCCTGGCTGTCAGGTGACAGTATTTTGTGTCAGACAATAACATGCAAATTCTTGTAGCACCTGAATGGAGACACAAAAAAATGCCATACCTTGAAAAGACATCTCTAAATAATGCATTAAACCAGAAGGTAGAACCTTTGTGCTTTTTAAGACTCAGTGTACCTCAGGGAATTTTTCAGAAAGCTTCTTCCTTTCTCCAGGGGTGGCTTTTTTCAGGTCATAAGGTAATAAACAAGACACTGAAGTACCGTGCCACAAACCCCATGTGTTACAGTCAGAATTCCTCCAATCTGTTACCTTTTATAGCTTCCTTTTCCTCATTTTCTTAGCAATGGGAGTTGTTCACCTCCTTTCACTTGCAGTAAAGAGACATTTATCATTGATGTTTGTGCTTCTCTGGTCTTGAAAAATTACTGTACTATCCCATAGCAAAATAAAATTTACAGTACTCTTGTGGTTTTAATGTACTTACTGATTGGGTGCCCTTCTTTAGCCATCACTGGTGGTCTCGCTCAGACATCTGGTACTTCTCTCTAGCTGGAGAGATAGCTGTACTTTTAATCCTCGGGCATACAGTGGTCTTGGTGAGTTGCATATGTTCTTTTCACAGTGCAGATTTTGGACACAGAGCAACGCATTAGCAGCATATTCTTCTCTCAGCATTTTCCTATTCCAGTGAGGGATAGTGGAGCATGTATCTTACCACATACTTAAAAGAAGGCTGCTCTAGTACAGATGCCGTGTAATTCTTTTCTTCAGCAATGTTAGCCTGAAGCATGTGGTAGGACATACAGGGCAGAGACAGAGCCAGTGTAAATCAGTGCAACCCTCTGTCCTGAAGGAGGTGCACTGATTGACTTCCATGGAAAATCTCAACCACTCACATTTTACCGTCTTCTGGAAAGAGAGGTGTTCCTCAGTATAATGTGTACTATTCCTCAGGATATACATACTGTAACTCTGAACACTAGACATGTTTAATGATTCTTTACTTTATTGCCAAGACATCTGATGAAAGCCACGTGTGCTGTCTTTGGCTGCTGCCGTTTTATGTTTGTGTTTGTCAAGGAACGCTTACTTAGTTTACATTATTTGCAGTGGGAAGAGGAGAGAAATCTTGGAGCATCGCTAGTGCTTACAGGTCTAAAGCAAACAAACACTGTGGGTTTTAGCTCCCAGCTGTATGGCTATGCATTCCTTGGTAAGTTTTACCTCCCTTTCAGTCATCTTTTCTCTCTTGTCTTCAGTGGCTGAATTAAATTGGCATCTTTGCTTTATTAAAATGTAATCAAGGAGAAGGCTAAGAAAAAAAAAGGCAAAAATAGCAGAAGGAACAATTTCAGAGTTAAGACCAAACCTGTTTTGTAAGCCTGGAGGGTAGTACTGATTTGAATGGTATGCCCTTTATCAGACAGCTTCAGAACCTCTTTTAGGGCTCCCTGCAGGTTCAGATTGGCAGCTGAAAGAAAGAAGATGTTCTTAAAGAACAGTAGAGTTGGTTTGTTTGTGGACCAACAAATGTAAAAAAAAAAAAAAAAAGTACCGAGTTCCTTCAGACAAATTTAAGGTTGTGGATAATAGACTCTTTTTCTAGTTAGTGAGCTTCTTAAAATAATCCTTAAACCTCAAGAAGTTTGGAGAACATAGCCTGAAAAACACTATGTTTAGAACATTTACTACTCACTGTAAAGGTAATGTCTCTGTTGTGAACAATGGATAGCAGTGCCTTTATCCTGTATCTGTTAAGGAGTCTTCACTGCTAATGATATGCTACATTATTAAAGACCAGTTAGATCAGAGTATATCCAGAATTGGAGGGAAGGGGAAGGGGGAATTAGGTAAGTAATTCTTGAATTTCCTCTAACCTTTAGAGGAATATAGTGCAAATAGGTTTTGTCCTTCTCTACAGTACGATTATTTACTTGAAAGTAATTATTTAATTTAAAATTTATGATTATGTAGTTGTTCCATTACTGCATTGTATTTTTATTCTAGAATTTATTGAGGGTAATAAAAAGTGGACTTGTTCTTAAAATGTGGCTTCAAAATACGATGTGTAGTGGCAGAGTTAGGATGCTGATTTGGATTTATCATGACTGTAAGACAAAAAACTAATTTTCAGTCAAAAAGGGGGGTAAATGTGAAAATTAATTTGAAAGCAGGATTCTCCATAGAGCTATGGTTTGCTGTTCAGTGGAGATACTGATACAAATAGGGACTTTGCCATCCAGCTGGCATTCAGTTTGGAGTGTTTTTTGTGTCATATAGATTGGTTGAGTAGTGGCTGTATTTCAAAAATGCACTTCACTGTTGTCTGTGAGCAGTAGTGCTTGTTCCATGACATTGACATTCAGTAGATCAAAAGCTATTTACTGTTATGTCACGTATTCCACAGTCTTGCCAACACTAATAGAACCGACCTCTGAGAGAGTGAAAGATGTCTACCGGCACAGAGTGGCCTCAAGCACCTCAGCTATTTTAATTTAGCCATAGTCCATGAGCTTTGTCTGTGCACTTATTACCTTGCCTTTCCTAAACTGTTCTCTTCCATGTAAAGAAGAGTAAGGTGTGTTTCAAAGTTTTGTGTCATTATAGCCAGAGTGCAAATTAGATTGAGAGCTTGGATACAACTCTTGTACGCTACACTGAAGTGGTGTTATTTGTTACATTGACAATGACAAAATCAAAACCTTAGAGTGACAATCACAGTAAATTAGTACTCAGAAACTGCAACATGATGTACATTTCCTCTGTTATGCTGGAGTTTCATGTTCAGTGATGCTGTGCATCAAAGGTCCTGCTACAGTCAGTGAAGAGCTTGTTGCACAGAATGTCCTAAATCAAGAAGAAAATTTTCATTTTGGCAGGTCTCCCATATTTCCTCTCAGGAAGCTCCAGCAGAAATAGGGGTACTAAGCTGTATGGTTAGCCAGAGAGTGTACTGTAAATACTGTACAGTCTGGCCATGACACTTGTGTGAGTAGACCATAAAGGCCACAGAAGTGAGTCCAGAGCCTCAGATTTAGTGCATGCATGCTGCACAGTCAGTCCCTGAAGGCTAAGGAGACATTTGTCTGAGATCTCTAGACATCCTCCTCAGAGCTGCTGTTATAACTGCCAGACAGCGAGAAAACCTGACCACTTTTCCTCTTTTCAATCTGGACAAAATTTCTAGGTGAGGGGAGAGGGTACATGTAATAGCCGTGAAGTTGGGCAAAAAGAAGGCACCTTAATAAAATAAGGTAATAGCAGTTCTGTCAGAGTAGCTTTGTAGAAGAGTGTGTTGTCTTTACTACAAAAGCCAAGACACTTGCTGTCACTTCTAAAAAACCGAGCCAATCCATAAGGATTCCGTTAAGACTCAAGTGCTGGAGTACTAATGCTAAAGTATTTTTTTATCACAGGGAAAGTGGAGCTGAATAAAGGGCTAAGAGCTGTATACAATCTAATGCCACTGATGTGGACACCTGGATACTTGAATAGAGCCTTGCAAGTAATGGAGAATGTGGCTTCATTTTCAGGGGACAGCAAAATCTGCAAGGAAGCTGTAAGTATGAAGGCTATAACCTGATGAACAGAGGGAATTTCATACAAGCCAAATTCCAGTAAAACCAGTGAATTCTGTGCCTTGCTAATGAGAAGAGGCTCAGCAATATTTCACAGGTCCTTAGAAGACAGGAGAAGTAGTAAAGTTTAGAACAGAACCACTGTTGATAACCACTGTTGTTCAGTTGATAAGCCAGTGATCCTATCTACTGGCATGTCCTTAGGAATGAGTGTCTGTTATTGCCACAAATCATTTAAGCATGTTTTCTAAGCCTTCCCCTCCCTATAGAGACACCTGGGTCTCTGTCACAGGAAGCACATGTCTGTGGGGATGGGAAGACACCTTTGTTTCCCAAGCTTTTGAACTCAGAGACATGACTTCATAGCTGTGAGGATGAAACATCAAATCTTGTTCCTCTCCTGGCTAATTCCATGTATTCTGTGCCCTCTGAGATGATGTCCTGAGGGATATTGGTCCAAAAACGGTACAGAGTGATTTCTAGAAGGATTGTAGTGCCCCCAGTTGGGGAGGATGGATAGATTCAGTCCATTTGTGAGGTCAGCACTGACTAAGGGACTTGGGGCTTAGGAGTGCTGTGGGGCATCAGGCTGATCCTGGAATCAGACAGCTTAGGAGGAGTAACTTGGGAAACCACCACTACATGGGCTGGAGCATAGAAACAGCACTGAGGTCTCAGCTCCTCTTCTTGGTACTCTTTCTGGAAGGTGTCTCTGGTGATGGGAATCTCCCTTTTGCTAGCACCACTACTAGGCTTGTAGTTTCTGCATTTCCCTTGACAAACAAAGGCCAGGGCACTGCTCAGCAGGTTCCCCTATGTATTGCTTCATGCTCGGAAGCAGCTCTGTGTAATACTGGACATGGCAAGGAAGGAAGTGTCACATCTGCAACCTCCACCATTTTGAGTTATCTCTTCAGGTGTGTGGCTTTGGGGATATGTTCCTTAATCCAAGTCTGAAGAACTCAGCCTAATACACTTGTGATTCTTCCTGCTTACAAACCCTAGACAAATTAAGGAAGTCCTCAGCTTGCTCTGGGTCGTAGATGAACATCCTAGTGTTGAAACAAGGCTGTATCTGTCTGTGGTACAACAGGTGCATAGAAGATCCGATCCTTCTGTGTACGGATACTGTAAAAAATAGTAAATGCTAGTAATACCTGGCAATGCTTTCTTTGCAGAGACACTTTTTAGTTTGTTCAGTGAACAACTAAGAACTTATAAGGTTATTACTGGTTACTCACTAATGTTGCAAGTGTCTCTGTACAAACCCAGTAGTAGAGCCCAAAAAGCAATGACTCTGAGAGCCACACAGAAACTCCCCTGAAGGGATACTTGGCCTCATTTGGATTTTAGGTAGCAGTATATAAACAACAGTGCAAGTCACATAAGTTTCACCAAGCTGAGGACCAAGATCAGGCCTGGATGGTTTGTTGTTATCAAAATAATTTTTCTCTAATGCATTTTTGTGACCCCAATGCAGAAGGGAAAACAAGGAAAATATGTTGGTCGATATCCTTTTGTGGTGTGAAGTAATTACAGTGTATTGATTTGTATCATCTGGCCTTTTCTACCTAAATGCTCATTAAGATTTTCCTATTAAAATCCATACAAGATCTTTTTAATTACTATTTCCAACTAAAATGCAGTATTCCTAAGGGTGAAGGACTAAGAGCACTGACCAGGTCAATATTGGGGTCAGTCAGCTTCCACTGAATTCAGCAGCAGATATGATGGAAACAACCTCAAGTGCCATAAATCCTTTTTTCCTGTAGTATCCTGGGCCTCTCTTGGGCAGGACCGTTACGCATTTCTCATAAATCCATATCACAGCACTGAGAAGTACAGGCCGTGTTATAAATCATTGTCCTTGCATGCCTGCACAGAGTTACTTGATAAAGACATAGCCCTGGTTTTGTGAACTTGGTTCTCTTCCAAAATGTAGTATTTTCTGGCTGAATAAATTTCATTATCCAAAAGGGAAGTTTTCAAATTAACTTTTTTAACTGTGGAGTTTTGGTGTAAACATTTTCAAGTGATTTGCCCAATCATTATCAGTCACCAACTTTTCTTTCAGGCTTTAACCTTAATCCACTTCTGGCTAGAAGGGTGTCTGATTTTCTCTCTGCCATGACTATCTTGACAACGTAATAGAAATACTGTTTTAGTATTGCACTATGTTGTTAACTGTGAACAAGCAAGACAAGTTTTGTTTTTTTCAGTTGCCTGAGAAAGTCTCTTAATGAGTGTATTTTGAAGCACAGTTATTATTTTACTGCTTACTTCATCCTGTTTTTCAGTACTGCTAGTTTAAAGATTACATTTCAGTGTCAAGAATGTTATTTCGTATAAGACTAACTTTTATTCCTTTAGCATTATATTCTTGGCCTTTAGCAAGCATATATTCCTTTAGCAAGTTATATTCCTTTAGCATTGTATGCTAGGAAGATGAAACCGTAAGTATCAAAATCCCTTTTGCTTGGAGAAAACATCACAGATTCAAAGGTTACACAGAGTTATTTCATCCTACTGATAAACATTCAGAATTAGGATTCATGAAAGGATAACAGCTCTTTGCATTTGTGAAAGCTGAACTTTAAAATGCAGGCAACCTGCATCCAATAATTCCAGTTATGGAGACTATGTTATTCCCAAAACAGCAGCAGCATCCATATAGCAGTTCCATGTTTTGTATCAATAATACATACAGAGATGATTTACCAAGTCCTTTAGTGAAGCTAATGTGTTCATTTGATACAACTGCAATTAGATTAGGAGAGGATGGTTCTCTTACTACCTCAAAAGACAAAAGCATGAAGAGAACAGAGGTGTCACAGATGAAAAATACACCTATACCAATGTATTATATGCCTACATTACCATTTTTCCTGTTAAATTATCGAACTAATGATAGGAATGAATGTTCTTGTTGCAGAACAGGTGATTTCCCTGCTTCTTTTCACCAAAGAGGTATTGAGATGATCTGTTAGAGATTATATTGGTCAAACATTCCATAATAATACTTTATTTAGATGTATCTGTGATTGTGTATCATGCTAGTGCTGTTATCACTGTGACTACCATTTAGCATTAGTATTTATGGCCAGATATCAGGCCAAGAGGACACATTAGCCTAATGCCTGACAGCTGTGCAAATACCAGTCAGCATCTGAGTCATGGGGAGTTTTACTGTTGGCAGGGATTGGTGGAGTTGTTCTGTTGCAGAGTTTTAATGTCCAGCCTCAAAGGTCCAAAAGTACAGTATAAAATTCTTCCAAGAATAAGTCCCATTTCCTTTAAGAATTTGGTTTTCTTTTTATTATACACAGAAGTCATCTCAAAATACATTGTAACTGATGAAGTTGTTTGTAAACGTGACAGCAGTGTTACTCCGATTATATTTCTAAACTGTTTATGCTAACAAAGACAAATGTGATTGTTCAGATTGATGCTCTGGAGACCATTTTGCAGTCTGTCCTTGAAGCAAAACCTGGTCCAGAATCAGCTGAAGTCAAGGAATTAGAGCAGAAGTCACGGTTTGCAGAATCAGAAGAAACAGAGCAGTCTAAAGCACCTGAGTACTACAGCCGATTCAAGGTAAGAGGGTTTCATTTATCTAAATATTCTAAGCTGTAGTAGATCTCCATAATATATACTAGAAAATATATTATTCTGACTTATTATGGCTAGTAGACTGACACCCCTTCAGGGCATCAGGGGTCCTACCTGGCATTTTTCAAACTGATGTCACCTTGTATTTTCAATTCTTCAAACAGGAAGCAGCAGCTTACAAAGACATAAATGCTCAAGGCCACTTGTCTTTTGTCTGCTGGGATTTTATCTTCACTTTTCATACATCAAAATGATAAATCCAATCCTGTTTGCGAAAGTGGTATGTCATTAGAGATCCATTATCTGACCTTGTGTGGGCTCTTGCTCATTAAAATAAATTGTAATAGGCATGAGACCATCCTGAATTTATTGTCCATTTGTGTTGATTAAGTAGGAACATTGCATCCTATACTTTCAGTCTGGGGAGTTAAGTAAGGCCTGTATTGCCTCCTTTTTATCTTTAGGTCGTCATGCTGATGATAACTATGAAACACAAACAGTTGTTCATTAGGGCACAGCTATATAATGAGTGCATTTTATTTGCTCTCATAGCTATATAATGAGTTCATTTTATTTTATCATCCCTGATTTGTGCTGTGGTAAAAATCAAATACCCCAGGTTGAAACTAATCTGGCTTATAGTTCCAGGAGCCGTACTCTTTCCATAGCCCATCACTTTTCATTGTCGTTGTCATGACCTTGGACAGTTACTCTGGATACAGACCATTGTTCTAAAGAAATTTCAGAAGTTAAAAGACTAGTATCCAATGGTTTCACCTCACATACACACACCTTTGCTTTCTTTAATTTTTATTTGCATAAATTATTTGCCACTAATCTTTAGATACTAAAATTGCTTTGTAGACACTTAGAACTTTAATTAAAAAGTTTTTGGGAATCAGTGGGTGCTCAGCATGTGATAATTAGTGCCTGGATGAATTACAGTGAATTAGGTAAACACAAGTGCCCTTTGAAGGAGGGAGTGAGGCATTTTTATGAGTCTGTCATTGTCTAGCTGTTGTCTAGCCTTGAAGAAAATTATGCAGTTTGCTCAAAACAAGGCCTAGATGTCAAATTGGGGACAGTTTAATGCCAAGAGGGTGGTTTTCTTCTCACCTCAACCTTTCCACAAGTTCCATAATTAACCCCAGTTCAGGCATTCCTTGGTGTGGCAGTGAGTGCCCTGACTTTGAGCCAACAAACTGCAGTCCCAACGCTTAGCTCTAAGCTCTCGCCAGAAGAGTCTGACTCTAAGAAAGGCATAGCCCTCCTGAAGTCTAGGCATCCAACAGTAATTTATATGTAAATAACCCACAATTTCTGGTTGTCTGGATGAGAAAATGAACTCTCAAGTCAGAATGCCATTTCAGCTGAGCCTGAAAGAGCTCTCAGACTCTTCTCTCAAATCCATCAGGCCAGCACCAGCCAGTCTTCCCAGCTGAACCCCTGGACACTTGTGGGCATAGTTCACAGAGCAGAGAAGTTCACTAGAAATCCATACAAGCTTGAGGGAGGGTGGCAGCTCTGAAGCAACCTGGTGATGTTGGCATTCACAGCTGCTGTCCCAGCACAGATCATCTGCTTTTCATGTGATGTAAACCCAACACAGGATTTGCACTTCTGCTGCTGAAAACACTTTGTGCTTTATCCAGTCCTGCATTAGCCAGCATGTCCCAGTCTTTCACCTTGAGCTCAAAACCAATTGCTTATGTCTCCTGCTTGCTCAGTTCTTCCACAAATCATACACCTGGCTGTGTGAGGAAAAGCGTGTGGATTTGCTGCAGACATACAGTTCCTGTCTAGAACTGTAGCTTGTTCTGCATGGCTTTTATACACATACTTGGACTTCATGTCTCATACCAACCTTCAGAACAACGATTTGTGAAAGTACCTAGAAAAGCCATGTCAGCCTAACAGATACTGTGTGTGAGAAGCAGCACATCCTTCGCTTCCACTAAAACAAACAGGACTTGAGGGCATTTAGCTCTTCCCAGGTAAAGCCGTTAGAGCTGTAACTTAGACTCTCTGTCTGATACTGTCATTCATGTTGTAATTACCTGTTCTCAGGCCTCATATGCTGAGGCTCACAGTGTTCCTCAGGCAATTCCTTCTGTCTGTGTCAATGATCAGTGGGCAAGCGTTAGTCACGTAAATGCTGGCAACACCCTGTCTAAAAGCAATGCTCCTTCTCTAACTGTCTGCATGCAGAGCCCTGGAGACTGCTTATAAAAATCAATGATTTAGCCGCTTAAGAATGTGCCCTTTTGGTACCTGCAGGACATAGAGCCTGCTGCTTTCCTAAACTAGTTTTACTAATGTGTCTCAGCAGAGCAGGGAAGATTCCAGGAGTTCAGTGATACCAGCAGTGGCTTAGGAGAGAAGTTGTGCTAGTTTCCAGTTTGTGCCTTTCTATAGTTCAATTTCATACTGCTTAGGTTCAGTGCATAAACCCCTTTTTCAGTACATCCTTGGTAGCGCTTAGTAGGGAGAGTCTGAAGGATCTAAACCAGTTATGTTTAAACTGAATATCTAATCTGTAAACATGCGTATAGTTGTCAGGTTCCTTCCCCAGACCCAAGCTGTATGGTCTCTTCATGTTTCTCACTGATGCATTGTATACATACTGACATCTCAAACAAAACAGATGAATACTTCTAAATATTACTTGAGTATTGTTTTAGTCCATTAGCTTCAAAGCCGTTGGGTTTGTTTTCATTTTTTATCATAAAATGAGAAGTCAAACAGCCAAATACCCAAGCCTCTCAGACCTACATGCGTAGCATTTCAAAGAGTCTGTCTGCTCTCTGTCCAGTTCAAACCTTCGAGGGTCTGGCAAAACACAGCAAAGCCAGTAGTTGTGTTGGCTAAGGCAGAGAGAAGTAGGGAGGCCTCAGAGGGGATATCAGAGTTTCCTGCATAAGAACAAGGTAGAGCCTCAAGACAGGAGCTGAGGGGCAGTGCCTTTGCAGGTTATTGCCAGTGTGGGTTGGGGTCAGAGGAACACTGTGCGCCCGCAGCACAGTGCATAACCTTCCAGTCATAACTGGAAGTAGAAGTCCGGATATCTGCATGGCCCCAGAATTGCCATTTTGTTTGGAGGTGAATGATCCCCATGTCTTCTTTCCATCATCCTGCAATGCAAAACAATAGGCTTTATTCAAAGGGCCTGGGAAAGCAGCATGGATGTACCTTACCTTTCTTTAGGACATGTACTTACTTTAAACATTTCTGCAAGTGTTGGGCTCAGTAAAATGTTCTATTTAAAAAGAAGAGTCAGGAAAATGCGTTGCTATCTACTGAGTGAGCAAGGGGTAAAGAATCTGCCAGTGCCATGTCATCTTTCTCCTCTAGGAGACTCCTCCTTGGTTGTGTATCTGCACTTTTAAGGCAATTAATCAGATTGTTAGTGAGCCATCAGGCTAAAGATTCCAGAAAGCCAGAAATAGTATCACTGGATGATTCATCATCTTAAGTGAATTAACATTTTTATGCTGCATGAAATCTAGATAAGTAAAGCTCAAGAAAGAAATACTGCACAGTTTCTTACTGAAGCTCTGCTCTTAGTTTCAGTGTAGAATATCCTTGAAAAAATATCCCTTGCTTTAGTGCTATTGTACAGTCTGTGTAAGCATAGTCAAGCATCAGATCACAGTAACTGTTGGGAAGAAAAATCATGGGAGTTACTTAGTATGCCATTAGCAAGAGAGCATTTAAAGTGATGTGCATCTGTTGAGAGGGATACTAATGCAGGCAGTGTGGAGCAAATTGTTCAATCGGTTTTGAGGTAAGGTGTTTAGGTTATATTTCTTATAGTTGACTGGTCAGCTGATCTTTCTTAATACCAGATAACTGAACTTGGAAAAATAAAGATAATTTCAATGGTTAATAAAAATGAAACTTCATTGTTTTAGATTTATTGCTCAAAAAAATTATTCTAGAGGTTAGAATTTCAAAAAATGGTACCAGCTACTACAGTTGAAACACTTTGCCTGTATGGCCTGCCTAATAGTTAGATTCAAACAGCAATGTATTGGTTGTTAATAGTGGCGTGTTTTGTGGCTGACTATTTTGTGACTGACTGGCTCTCTCATTCTCACTCCCCACCGATTCCCTTTTTATGACAGGAGCTGTGCTCTAAGCTGCATTCACTTGACAAGGTTGAATCTGAAAGCCTGTTAACCCTGACCACCCAACTTGTCAAGGAAGAGCTGCCAGCATGTGAAGTGGAAGACATTGCAAAACATGAGCAGAAGCTAAAGGAGTGGGAACAAGAACAAGCACTTCTCATTGAGAGAGAAAGGGAATTGAGAGAAAAGGCTAAGCAGGAAATGGAAGCTAGGAAGCTAGCTGAAGCATCTGCTTAGCACTGGAACTCAAAGACTACCGTAGTGGTACGCATTCCTCTGTTGTTGAACTGAAATGCTCACCATTATTAATATTTCACTTCAATCCTGCTGCAAGCGTGACTATATGTGACTCCTATATGCAAATTAAACTTTTCCCATTTTGCCTGTTTGCTGAAGTAAAGCACGTGTGGTTTAGAAGTCTTCACCCGGTATATGATATATTTTCCTCCTGCCATGAGCCAAGCAGTGGGTGGGGTGGAGACAACACAAAGAAACAAAGGCATAAGAAGAAGCTTGCCTGTGATGAAAGGTGTAGAGGGTGGAAGGAACAAAAGAAGAGGGAAGAATTTCAAACACAAGTTGTTTCAGTAGGGGTTTGTCACAGGAAAGAATACCTTGGTTACTCTGAACTTCAGACACTAAGAGGATTAATGTATACTGATTGCTTCTTTCTTTCTCAACCCATCTGGAAAATTCAGGCTACTATATATGGAATTGGGAGTCTAACTTTAGACTGTTTTTAAAACTACTTTTAAAGAATTTCAGCCTAGTGAGTTAGCACTTGTACAGGCAGTCAGATGTGCCTTCCCTGTAAGGAAGTTAGAAATTTCTGACTTTACTAGTGCTGCTCTGCTCCATTTTTAAGGTCAGTAGAGAAACACGCACAATCACCTCAGCACACACCCAGGAGCCTCAACTGCAGTGCAGTTTCCTTTTATATTCTGGGTGCTGTTTCATGGGGGTTTTGACCTAATTCTTTTCTTGTCTTAGCTGTGTACATGGTCGCATGCCCCATTCTTCAGATTGGTAAAACAATGTGGCTATTGGCACAAGGAAACAGCAAGGGAGGAAAGGATCTTAGTGCATTGCTTGTGGAATGCATCAGCATCCATCCCTACTTACATTCCTTGTTATCGCTGAATCTCATTAGCTGCAGCCAGCGACTTTATGCAGCCCATGGCAGGGCAAGTTCCTTGAAAACAGGATCACCCTAGCAACAGACCTGCTGTATTGCTGCTTGTTATGGCAACACATGTTGTCTCACTGTGTTTCACCACAGGGTCTGATAAGCATTTCCAGTTTTATCATGCACCTGTCTAGTCTTAGAGTGGTAAAGCTTACATCACAAACTCACTGTAAATCCAGTGAGAACATGCTGCGAATCTGCAAAGTGAACTTGTTTGAAGTGTAGGAAAGCATGCACCAAATACCTCTCTTATTCCCAGCAAATGCACTCAGAGCCTGATTGCTCTTTCACATCCAAGAACTTGACAGTAAGGTCCTTCACCTCGTCTTTTCAGCAAGTACCATAGTTTCTCCCATACTGCAGTAGGAGAGTGCTGTCTCCAGGTTAAGTGGATGATTTTGTGCCTTGACTAACTAAATCAGCAGTGGACTTTCTTGGGCAACTTTCCTCAAGTCTCCTGAAGTCTTTTTCCTCTTTCTTGGTCTAACTGCTTTTTGATTACTAGAAGTTAGGGAGCCTTAAGGGAGAGTGGGAGAGGCCAAACATGCTCTTAAGGACAATTTCCTTAAAACTGGTGGCTTTAAAGAGGTCGTCATTCCTAGTTGAGCCACGGGAAAATGAAGCATCCCTTCCCTGACCGCATACTTCAGTTCTTCAGTGTCAGAATATGGGCTGTATCTCCAAAGGTTTACAATCACTCCTGCATCCTGATTCCTTTCTCAGCTTGTCTCTACAGACACCACCTCTCCCTTCTGGGATCTCCTCTATACCACCACAGTTTTAAGACCTTCCTTGCTGACACATGGCCTCTAGCCACTGCAGCTGCTGATCGTGTTGCTTATGAGACACAATTTGGCTAGGCCACAGCGGGCACTGCCACATTTCTTCTTGTTTCTTGTTAGCATCTGTTTCTTGGCAGCACAAGGAGCCTGTCTCTGGCCCCACCTCTACCCTTCCTCACCCTCCTCGGTAGATGCACCAAGCTAATGCTAATTGAGCTCCAGCAAGCTGCCAGCTGCCATGCATGCCGCTCTCTCACAGAGCATGCTTCCCTTCCCCCACAACTAACTCCCCTTTCCATTTATTTAGACTTAACTATTACAGCAATAGGAGAAGAAAATCCTCTAAGCTCTGAGTAGCCTGTTAATGAATATTACAGGTTGCCTCCTTGCTTTACTTCAGGCTCTGTGGGTTTGAATGGTTTTAGTCTGCTCCAAAGCCTACAATCTTTCTCTGCCTTCTCCCGAGTCTCCTCCCATATCCCCCTCTGCCCTTGGGAGAGTGGGGTTTCCCTGCCAAATGCTTTGCAGGCAGCAAAGCAGATTCCTGGGGCCAAGTAAAGGACACCAAACCCAAGACCTGCAGCAGAGGGTCCAGACCATTTGTGGCTTAAGGAGCCAAAAGTTTTGCCAAGCCCTCATTTATCTGTCCCCTCATTATCATCCTGAGTGAGAAACCACTTCTGACACTTCCACCCGCTGGGCCACCTGCACACCACGGCCCTTCTTCCCTCTCTCTCATGCCCTAGCTGAGTATTTCTCTGTGGTCCAGTAGCCTCCATCTTGCTTCTCCCCACCCCAGGTCTCACCACTCTCTCAGGCAATAGCAACCAGCTTCTGCCAACCCAACGTTTTCTCACCTAGCAAATCATAATATTTCCCACAAGCCTACCTGCACCTTCTTGAATTCTGCAGCAGTCCTTATCACTGCTTCCCCTTTGACCTCACCCTTGATCCCCTTCGAGTTCCTGCTGTGTATCGTCTCAAGTTTATTTCTTCCCCTTCTCCAAGGAGGCTGGCCATGTCTCTTTGCCCCACACCCCCATCTCAGACAGCAAAGTGCCCCTGGCTCTGTGGACAGCAAGCAGCCCAGGGTACCACACACTCAGGCACCCTGAGGTTTGAGGCCCCTGGACACAGCTCGGTCTCAAGAGGAGGTTGGAAATACGAATTAGCAACTGAAGCTGGAGGGAAAGGAGGAAGGTACTCTCCTCCTTGGTGCTCTTTCCTACCTGCTAGCTTTGAGCAAGGTCAACAGTAAGACAGACAAATTGTGAAATGGGGTAATTCACAGACCAACGCTGTTCAGGCATGTGCTCAGCTTCCTAAGGGAGACAGGGATGGTAGCTGTTCACCACAAATGCAGCAGCATGAAAAATCAAGAGAGTATCAAGTAACTCAGCTTGACTTACCTGCTTTTCTCCTTCCCACTCCAGGAAAAGTAAGACTTGATTGTTTGCCACCTTGCATAAATCATGTTGCTTACGCAACCTGTTTTTCAGCTGCTTGCTGGATTACTCTTAAAAAAAAGTTTGAAGAACACTTGTACCAACAGCTAGGAGTGAAACTGGGTCCCAGGCAGTCAAAAGCCCTTCTGTCTGGATGCTCACAGCTTTGTGTGCACTCCTGTGATAGCTATCACCCTCTGTGATGCAGCTAGCCACATTTAGAAGGAGGGCAGAGAAGTCATACAGCAGCTTTTGATCTGCTGCTGCTTAAATGTGAGCTTTGATGCGAAGGGAAGTATGTAGATGTGTGTATATATGCATATAAAAAAAAAGCTTCTGTACTCTACAAAGACAAAAAGCTTCTGAGTTCATCCAGTCCTGCGCCCTGGTACTCATTCAATGCAAGCTCACAACCCACTGAGCACTCCCTTGCTAGGACACTCTCAAGCTTTTTGAAATGTTGCTGCTCCTTGCTGCACTGTTTCAGACAGCTGCCTAGACCTTTCTGTATGTGGATGGGACTGGCAAAATATTTCCTGGAGGGGACAGACCAAAATCTTTCTTGGTAGTAACACAATCTCCTTTTTTTTGATCACCTCTCCTAGAAATGTTCCTTCACATCCTGTTTTCATTTGTGACTACAGCTGCGATTTGCGTTAAAGCTATTACAGTTTTTTCCCTTGTCGGTATATTTCTAAATCACAGGAGTGCATCTTTCTTCGTGAAAGTCTTTGAATAATTTCCCTACTCGTTATCTTGGTGTCTGTATAACTAAAGGCAGAGTAAAATCTCAGTGCTAGAAGCAATACATTTGCATACACAGTCACTGAGCTGAGCATGCAAACGAGGTGACCAGCAACCTAAATAATACCTGCCTGCACTAAAGCTTATGGTGCAGCATTGCCAGACTAGTACATGGTAGGCAGTGTTAACAGCTCTTCCGTGTTTCCCCAGGCATGGGAGAGACCTTTCTCTCAACAATACTTGCCAAAAAAACCCAGAAACCAGTACAAATGCAAAGCCTGTTTGATATGTTGGCATGAATTTGGCTGCCATTAGGAGAAAAAAACAGCACTTCAAAGGTTAAAGTTCTTCCTTTCAATTCAAAAAGCATCTTCCCAATTCAAATCCATGGCAGATGCCAAATACGCTGCTGATTAGGCAAGTAAATATGTAACTCTTCCTTCTACAAGTGTCACTGGCAGAACGCTACCCGCAAAGCACTGAAGATCATTATCCATTATTCACAAGAGGAAAATTACATATTTATTCCCTTGCAGCTCAAATAAATGTTGCCTGAAGCCTTGCAAAGATGGGCCCTATTTATGATAACACCCGACCTTGCCAAGATAGGGTTACTAGTTGCTCTCAGACCTGGTCAGATGCTGCTGTGACCTACACACAGCGGTGGTATTGAGCACCTTCCCACAGCTTCAAGCACCTGCTCCCTCCCCCAGTGGCTTGTCCCAGTTGCTTGCCTGCCTGTCCCAGGGCTTTCTGGTCACCCTAAAACTGTGGAACCAGGACAATGACCTACCCCAGCTGCAGATGAAGGTTGACTGGTGCAAGGGGGTTTCTGACCTGAGCAGCCGTCACTGTGCAGCTGAGACAGGCAGAAGACAGCCTGGGTCACAGATTAGCAAGTGTCCTCTTTCTCCCCACCTCCTCAGGAAGCTGAAGTCATAGTTACAACAGGGAATTGTTGCACCCTTGACTTTGAGGGATGCAAGATGCGGTCCACTGAGCAGCATCTGATGCTGCAAGTACTGCTGCTGGTTTTGCTGGGGCTGTTCATGTAGAAACTACAACTGAACCTTCAAAAATGTATTTCAAGTGAGTATTTGAGCACATTCATGGAAAGTAAAGTTAAATTTACCTTCCCTGAAATTTAATGGTAGAAAATGTTGAGATGAGGACAGGGCTCTTTGTAGAAGAGAAACTATTGCTGTCATAAGTGACAAACAACTTGACAGTGACTCTTTCAAAATAAAACTGTGGAGAATGAAGTATAAGTCAAGAATTAGTGACTAAATATTAATTCAAGAGTAACTTAAGATACTGAACACGATAGGAAACTGTACCACCTAGTCTGGGTCAGTCTCCCCTTGGAAATAGATATATCTTTCAGTGATCACAAAGTTGTCACTGAACTCAGCTAGCAATTGCATAGTACTAACTCTGTTGCTGCTCTTAAACCTTTCTGATAAACTCAAGTCCATTCAACCCATCCTGAATTGCAGATGCCCCAGGCACAGAAATAGCATTAGAGCCCCATTGACAAGCACATTAGATTATGAGGACAAAATTCAGCTTTCAGTATATCTTGTTCATTGCAAATCCTGACAGTTCCTCCCTTAAGTGAATTGGGAAAGAAACTTTCGAGCCTGTTCTGGTCATTACGCGTGGTAACTGTTGCTATAATTACATCTTTGGAAACTGTAAACTCTTCCTGGAAATACTGACTTGTACTCTGGGGGGTTCATATTAAGTATGTAAGTGGCTCAGTGGCTCAGTTTACCTTCCAACTCTTCAAGCTGAGAAAGTAACACAGCTGGGCTGAAATAACATGAGGTTTGTAAAAGCTCAGTCAAAATTAATTTCTGGACCTTAACAGGTATACAGGGTGTAACTTCAGCGTATATAGACATTGCTATGTATATTTAGCTTTGGCTGTATTGGGACATAATCTCCATCTATTTCACTTAACCTCTCTGTAATTCACAAGCACAGGTGATGGGCCAAGCTGCAGTACGATCTGTAGATCATGGCATGCAATTGTTTTGGCAGTGAAGCTGGCAGCAGATACACAGTCAATCTCCACCCCTGCCTTGCTAGCTATTCACACTGGGGCTGGTAACACTGGAGGTGTTGAACTGCAGAGAAGCAGCTACATCACCAGCAAACAGAGCTCATGCACACAACAGTGTTTGCTGATTTAGTTCTTTAGTTCTCGTAAGTATTTAATTTCTGGTGGAAATGATGCTGAGCATGCAGTGGAAAACCAGCAAATCCCCTGGTAAGCTGAGGGCACTCAGCATTACTCAGCCGCTGGTGGTTTTGGGCTGAATCTGAAGGAAGCACACGCAGCACAGCAGAGGACAATGCCCTAGGGCCTTCATGTGAGTGTGGACTGGTTGTGTCTGTGGGAGATGAAAGTAGGGACTACAACAGTAGACAGTGGTCAAAAACAGTTTGCTGAGTGAAGGACATGGGCAATGCTCATGTAGCAGAAGTACCACGTGCCCAGAGACACCCTCTAGGAAGCCAAGGAGCTTTTCTGCAGTGCTGGGAACAAGCTGAATCTATGAGGCGTCGCTATGGCTATTACTCAAGAGACCCCTGGACACCTCTTTTCACCCCATCCTAGGAACCATGAAAAGCTACAATTAACTCTCAACCACAGAACACTAGAAATTAGTACTAAAGAGTCTCTAGGTCTTGGATGCCACAAGACAGCTCCCTCATTTTAGGTGGACCAAAAAGGTCTGAGGGACTGTCATTTTCCCATGCCATCTTAAATAGTTCATAAGCTGACTGAATTTGTTCATTAACAACACTAGTGGAAATAAAATTTCTCCTTCTCAGCAGCTGTGTTGAAGAAAGGAGCTTTCATTTGGCATCTGGAAGCAGCAGGCCAAATGCTACAGACCAGGCTGACCTGCCCCTATCCACAGGTATCCATGGGTGGTCCCACCTGTGCAAATCCAGAACTTCACCCTGCAGCTGCAGGTGAATAACTGGGGTTGAAGCTGACCTGGTCTGCTTTGCACAATCATTTTAATATATTTTAAGTAGCATCAAGCTACTCTACAACAACAGTTCAAAAAACCTTGATGTACACATACACAGGATTATCACTTGAGATATAAGACCTGCAGCAGTTGCCTCCCCTCATCTGGTCTTCATTTTAATCTACTTCGCCATGCTCAGCCCAATTCAAGCCAAGCACAGAATTTGTTAATGTCATTAGAAATTACAAATGAAACCTTAGACATTGGAGATGCGTAAGAGCCCACAAAAAAAGACTGCTGTTTGAGGGTGAAGGAAATCCTTCAGGGCCACTGCTTCTCCTGGGGGTGAGCAGCCCTTGCTCCCTGCTGCGCAGCCTTTTTCTGCTTTCATGTCATTACTATCTCCCCAAGTAAGCGTTGTATGTAAGCGTTGACTGCTGCACCTCACCACAGCAGGCATTGCAGGGGCAAGCAAAACTACAAAGGCAGAAAGCCTGATCTTACAGCGTCCCTTTAACAGCAGTAGAGGAAAAGTCTGATGTTCGTAAAGTAAAAAAACTAAACCGAGAGCCCAGTTTCCCCAGATACTCTATCCCCTTCTCACTGGGATTACTGGGCAGTGGTGGTCAGGAAGGGTTCATGTCCACGGAAGGCAAGTTGTGCACTCTTGTTAAACTGCAACAGCTTTGGAAGAGACCTCTTTTCCAAACCAGGGTGGGCTCAGTTTGATGTCACTTTATTGGGTGTCATCTCTGACACAGCGCCTTGAAAGTGTACTTACTGAAAATGAGGTGTTTTCTCATGCTGCTGAGGGATACAGAAATGAGAACAGAAAGAAGCCACGTCATGGTACGTCATGGTAATGTTTTACACCACAAGAGATAAAAATCATCTTCTGCATTTATTTTCCAGTTTCTAAATAGAAGTTGGTTCTTATCTAGCATTTAAATAGTCATTGATCTTTTGAGAAAAAAACCATATAGTAGGTAGTTATGATTGAAGGAAAGGAAAAACTTAAAAATACATACATACACAAAGACAAGAAACATGTCAACACCACTTTACCACTTTTGTATTTTATTGTGGAACTGAGTTTGTTTCCTTTACATCAAATATCCTCAATGGAAGAGGGGATATTGCACACAAATATCATAAAAGCACTACATATTACTTTCACTGGAAACTAATTTTCTACATTAGATATGACTGGATAGAATAGAAGTGATGCAGGATTATAAGACATAATACCATACACAGCTGCAGACTGACACAAACACCATTCAGAACAAGAGAGAGGAGGTGTGTGAGGTGCTTCTCAGCCAGCCACAAGACTGTTTCTTTCCTTAGTTTGGAAGATAATGGCTGCATGCAAATGTGTGAAAGCTCATTTCAGATTTCCTCTTTCAAGGTTGCAATTACAGCCCAGTCTTGAAGAAGTAGCTCCTGCCATCTGGAGCTTCTAGCTAGTCTAGTGAGGAGAAGCTGCTTTTTTAATTCTTCTTTTTTTTTTCTTTCTATATTTTTATGCCATTGTTTTATTTAGCTACTTAATTTTTTTAGATTTTTTGTAAAGTCACAACAAACAGACTTTTTCTTTTTTTATTTTAAATAGCAAACATTTTTAAACCAGGTGAATAATATAATTGCATTCTAAGAAATGCTTACTCCTAGTTGCTTTTAGTGTTTTGTTCAATTACTAAGTGAAAAGATGAAAGCTTACAGTTTCTTTCAAGTGTAAACATTATACTTTTTCCTTTTCTAATAAATCCAGACCAACAAAATTACTATTTCTCTCAAAACATCATTACTGAGCAAGAACCTCTGGCGACAGATGAACAAAGAGAAGCGTATGACAGAAATGTCCCAAATGCACAGTAAGCGCTCTTTGGAGCTGACTTGCTTGTGGTGGGAGGGATTGAAAATTCAATTAACAAATTGATTAAATCTTAGTAAATGAGTACCGGAACTCTCCTAAAATGCATAAGCTATCGTAGACAATTGAAAAAAATGACATTCATATACACAGTTATCTCCATTCACCACAGTATGTAAAGTAAGTAAAAGAAAAAAAAAAATCAAAAGTGATTTCTATGAAAGATGGGGTGAAAATAGAGGTCAATGAAGTCAGGCCCACCACAGGACTTTGAAAAGGCATGCAAGAGAGGCCCTGTCCAAGTTCAGGAGTGGGGTGGGATCTCCAAAGTTAATTCTTCATTGAATTATATGAAGCAGTATAGTAATAGCATAAAGATCATGACTGGGGATGCTGTTATGGGTACTACCATCATTTAAATGGAGTGTCTTTTACACTCAGATATTGAATCTTTATAATTAGAGTAATCAATAACAAACCATGCTCCTAGAAATCTGTGCTGATCAACAGCACTAATCGTTAATGTACACGGTACATTTTGATGACTGTTACACTAAACTAATTGTGTAGTACTAGGACTAGCACAGTTAGATTAGTTCAACAGGCAGGAAAGACATTAAGGGCAAGAGGAGCTAATGGAGGAGTTCATCGCTGTGTTGCACCCAGGCACCATTGCCATTTGAAAGGGAATGGATGGAACAGGCATTACAATACCACAGAATAGCCAGGCTGGGGTTTTAATATTCTTGTAGCAGCAAAAAAGCGAATGTACATATTAAGATCAGCTGTAACTGTCTAATTATTATTAGTAGTATTTTTAAAGTAAAACAAATGCTTGAGCCATCACAAACTTGCTTGGGGAGACTTAAGGCTTGATTCCAATTTCATTTACAGTAGGACCAGGACCAAATGACTGTAACTTCTCTGACTCTAGTGAAATTGCTTCTGATTCACAGGAGCAAGTGGCGTAAGTGAGATTAGTCTTAGGACCACTGCTGTACTTAAAACAGATTTTCTACCAAAGCAGAGATACAAACCATTTCAGATACTGTCAGAAAATCAGAAAATCTGTTCCCACCCACTCAAAAATTTTGAAATCTGACCTAGATAAGAAAGTAGACAAAGCAGAAAGAATTGTAGAAATAGTACAACTATTCTGCCAAACATTTGCCTATAACTTTGTAGACTACGTATTACAAAATCAATTTTAAGTGAATGATTATGAGCCCAGCAAACATGCTTGTCTTCACAATACATTTCCATCTGCCTTTTGTGCCATAGTCATTCTGAGTTACTCTTAAAAACTTAAAAGGTATAGCAATAAATAAAACAGCATTTCTAGAGATACCTAAAAAAGAGAAGGCATTAAAAATAAATGAAAACCCCCAACAACTGACAAACAGTAATTCACAGCATTAAATGGGCCTCAGGAGCCCACATTTAAAGGACCCTAAAGCAGTATAAAAAAAGAAACTCATAAAAATTAGGAGTGCAAACATATACCTATTAAACAAAAATATCCTAACAATGTAAAATTGAAATAAATTATAAGTAAAGAAAATAAAATGAGGTCATAGTTCACTACCTTGTGAAACTTAATACCAGACATAATTGTGAATCATACAGACCAGCACATATCTCCATTCTGGAGGCCTTTACACCTTCTTTAACTTCAGATTTGCAAACCTTCTACAATGTGACAATTTTTTTTAATTGGGGTAAGACTTCTGAGACTAAAAAATCTGAACTGTCTTTAATCACAGAACAGTCCTCTGCAAGTCTAGAGAAGGAAAAGAAAGAGGGGAAGGGAAAAGGAAAGGGGGAAAGGAAAGGGGGAAAGGAAAGGGGGAAAGGAAAGGAAAGGGTGACTTATTTTAGCTTATTGCTTATTCTATCTTTTTTCAATGTCTTGCAAGGATTGAGAATGTAGGTTACACCCTTGTAAGTATTAGGCAATCAACTTTTCAAATCCCATTTTCTGTCATCAGCAATAGATTAATTTTACCACCAGGGTGCCCTTCCATCCCCCCACCCCCCAAAAGGTATTGGCAGTTGACTGTTTTCAATGAATTTTACCTCAATATCCATTCTCACTAGAACCTTAAACAATATTATTCATTTATCTTACAAAACTACTAAAAAAACTGCCTTCACCTGAAAAATTTTTCTTTGCATTTTCCTGTAAATGAAAACGTTTGTTAAAAATTCATCTATTAAAAGTTCACACATCACTAAAAAAAAAGGTTTCTGTACATTTGTTCCCATATTCACTCTTAAATTAAACAAATAAAATAAGGTAAGACAAAGGAAGGTTGAATACTGTACAGGCTTGCAGGTAACCTTTTTAATCATTCAGAATGTTTCACTAAGTTTTGTAACTCTGATACTGGACACCCCTTCAATCTTGCTTCCACAGTACAAAAGAAGCTTTCAAAAAAATGCTCAGCTTGCCTTGTTGAGCTGTCCAGGTGCATCAATGAAGTGTTCACATAATTAACATATATAATTCATAGCACCAAGCCATTTGACCAGTCAGATAGGTTTCTTGTACCACACATGCACACTCACACTTCTTTACTGGTGTAACTATGATCCTACACAGATGTTCTATAAATTTGCTGTCTCAACGTTAAAAAATAAGTGCATCAAGTTTCTTTGTACATTCAAGTCACTTTCTAAGGCAAATTGTCTACTGTATGTCCTCCCGACTGCTTTGGTATTTTGCTTCAGTTAATCGACAGTGGACGTGGGTGTTCAAGCATGTGGACTGGTCAGTTCTGGCTGGAATGAGTGGACTTTCACTGGGAGCATGCCTTAGACCAACAATTCTGCATGTTGAAAGAAAGGTTTTAGACTTCTGGATGGGGTGCAGACTACGTGCATATCTGGCCTATGATTGTTATGGTATGTCAGTATGCAGAGTTCAAATTAAAGTGGAAAACTGCTGATGAGTGTTTAGCTTGTACATCCCTTCCTAGCCATGTTCTATTTCTTTTTATTTTCCAGCTAACTTAATTCTGTAAAAATGATCCCCTTTGCAATAGCTCAGATTGATACAAATTTAAAAGTTTCTTTTCATGTGAGAGCATAAGCAGACTGCAGTAAGCGATACATCTATTGCCATAAGACTAATGCAGAACTAATTATTTATTACTTTCTCCTCCTACCCCTCTCTCTCTTTCTCTCTCTTTGTGTTTCTTTAGAGGGCAAATGCCTCTACCTGGCAGAAGTCAGTTGGGGTTGCTAGTGCATGGTTTCCAAACGTTCAGCAGAGATGAAACTGGATCTGTATTTTCGTAGTAATTTGAACCTTACTATGGGAATAATGTTATTTCC